AGAGAGAGAGAGAGAGAGAGAGAGAGAGAGAGAGAGAGAGAGAGAGAGAGAGAGATTGCCACACTGCCCACGAAGTGAGTCTGAATCTTCTTTGGCTTTTGCCTTCCAGGAAATGCTGAAAGATGCACGCGCAGCATCACGGCTCACATGACAGCACTATTACAGACTACTCCCCCGGCGAACAACTAGTGCAAAGCAGACTGGATGCTGATTACTTCATTAATACAATTTATTACAAGACGTGCGTAATCACAGTGACACTAGTACAATAGAAGACGGCTTATGACGACTCCTCCGGGCCAATTCGCAATTGCACCATCTGGGCGGACGAACTGATACTCTCTCTCTCTCTCTCTCTCTCTCTCTCTCTGAGAGTCAGAAGTCAGCAAGCAGGTACGCACATGACATACGTACAAAATTAGAAAAACAAATAAAAAAAACAAAATTAAAAAAACACAGCAAACGGACTCAGAATGAGAGTCTTGAGCAAAGAGAGAGATCAACGGGGCCAGGGGACAGCTTATTCTCTTTTTTTTTTTTTTTTTTTTGGAAAACTGGGGGGCAGCATTTATCTCAGAAAGGTTCAGAGAACATGAAACAAAAAAAACGGTGATGAGAGTTTTTTTTTTTTTTTTTTTTCCAGCATTTGTCGATTTATGCGTGTCATCCATGCGCAGGGGCCTTCCGTGATGAGAGTTTTTGTCCTTTGAGACATCCGTTAAAATTGGAACGATATGGGGAAGATTAGCATGGCCCCTGCGCGCCCCCCCCCCCCCCCCCCCAAAAAAAAAGGATGCTGAGAAGGTAACGGATTCTTAAAAAAACGAAACGAAACGAAACGAAACGAAACGAAACGAAACGGAAAGAAACGAAACGAAAAGAAAAAGAAATGGCAACAGGTCATCTAGTATTATTTGAATACTACGCCTGCCGTCCGTCTTCACCCGAATAGAACGCCCGACCATTAGAGCTGTATTCGGGGCAGCATTCAGTCTAGATACAGAGATAATGACCGGGCGTTCTATTCGGATGAAGACGGTAGGCATTGTATTGGAAAAATCGACCATTTGCCGCAATAGGGTATTGCTACCTTGGCCTTCTGGACATCCATTAAAAATGGAACGATACAGAGAAGGGTAATTAGCAAAAGTACCCTGGGCAAGGATGACACGTAAAAATCGAGACATGGTCCAAAAAAAAAAGAAAAAGAAGAAAAAGGAAAAAAAAAA